TATTGCATATAGCAGAAATCCAGCAACAGAAGTGAGCAAATATCATTCTTTATGATACAGAGCCATTGGGCTTCAAATGTATATACAATATACTGACATTTTTCAGTTTTAACCTACAACAGAGACATCCTGTCAACCAAAGGGAGCACATACCATTTTGCTTTACTCATACGGAAACAGTTACAGAGTCATTGCAAGCGAACTCAACAATGGAGGGACATGCCCCATCCATAGATAGATTACTAATTCCAATCTGATGTGCCTTGGCAGCAAGACCATGAACAGAACCAGCGGATTGCCTACCAATTTTGAGAAATTACACAGGCGATAAACCCCGGCATATGTTGGGGACGAGGACGCAGGCAGCTGTTGTTGAAGAAGAGGTGGTCGCAGCAGATCGTGGTGCAGCAGCTTGAAGGCACGCCGGCAGGCGCTGTCTTCAAGGAGATTTATGCCCTCGCCGTGGTGCACGAGTTGTACAGGCTCTCCTCCAAGCTACAATGATCTCCTGTCTCCTATTGTGCACTCAAGAAGAGACGAACCACGGAACCAGCATGTTCTCACGAACATAGCTCTTTCTATGCCAAAGTTCAGATGTCTGTGGAGAAACTCAAGATTGATCCACCCAAAACATCTGTCGTACGTGGCCTTATATATTCTCCTTCTCAACTAGAAAATTTTATCCCTTGGCCAGCAAGTTTTCTTAGATAACAAGCTTAATTCGTTGGCCAAAATATCTTCTGAATTGCCGGATGGCCGGTCGTGCGCTGCGCCTGCGGCGTGGCAGTCCTCGGGTCAGCGGCACGAAGAAGGGGCGGCGGCGCTCTGCTCAACAGTCTTTTTTTTTTATATACTCCACTCGACAGCCAGAGGCAGGGAGCTCACCTTTTTTTTTTTGAGAATCGGCAGGGAGCTCACCTGGTTCGCGTTTCTGAGTGGGTCTCCATACACGACAGTAAGGCATGACGCAGAAGGTCGAGTGGTCTCCCCTAAAATCAAAAAACAAAAATGTTTTTTTAATAGAAGTCGAGCGGAACAGGCTATTCTCGTGTTTTTGCATGAATTTTACAACATGCATTGTATATGGACTGATACATATCCATTTTCTTGCTCGCAAAAAATATTAGATATGCATGGTAGAATGCATTACATCCACCTACGTCCAAGTAATGTACGTAGAATGCGTGGAGATGATTATTTTCAGGACAAAATTTAATCCCATGACTTAACTTCTGTTTTGAGAATATTAACTGCAAGTTTGTCGTTTCTTTTTTTTTTTTGCTGGAAACTGCAAGTTTGTGAAATGTTAACCAAAATTACTCTTGATGTGTTTTGGAAATATATAAAAAAATCAAAATTTTCATGAACACTGTAAATCGGCAAGAGGTTGCGAAGCTAAAGCTCCACATAAAAAGTGTTTCATTTATACTTAAGATTTTTTTTCTTGTATGGTCTTTTTATTAAGAATGCACACGTGCAAAGCACGTGCCTTCGACTAGTCTAACTTATGTCAGGTGACTTTACAGTGGCTGACACGTGGGCCGTCACATCCGCATCCCCACCCTCTCTTCTCCGTCTTCCTCTTCCAGGGTCGGCGGCTGGACCCTCGCCGTGGCCTCCTCCGTCGCGGCCAACCGAAAAGATCGCCCAGTACCAACGAGGAGGAAGGACAAGCCGTCCGTGTCGTGTTTTGTTGCTCGTCGCAGTTTACGGATTTGAGGTAAGGTAGGGGCATTGCGCCTCCTCCAACTCCTTCCGATTTGCTGATCTCAAAGAGGAATAAGAGAAGCAGAGATTACATTTATTGCTGAATTTTCCCTCGGCGCCTAATATGCGTGCTTCTATTTCTGCAGGTCTTATGATTACACAGTTACACATTTCAAGTGAAGAGCCGCGATTGCTGCATGTGTCTGCACATTTCAAGTGGATTGGTAGGTGATAGACTGCTAGTGCTCCTCTCCGCCGCTGCAGATCGTTATACAAGTTCTTTTTTTCTGAATGAATTGCAGTAGATGGACACATCCTATTCTACGCGGGCAGAGGAACTTCTCAGCATACTGGCTTCTTCACCAGCAAACAGCGGGAGAAACTACGCGAGCTACCAACCAAATACACGCCAACATACAGCTGAAAACAATGTCGATTCTTCGCTAATACTTGCCTGGAAATCAGGAGATGCAGAAAGATTGTGGATTGCGCATTCTTAATCTGCATAAGGTTCTGCTTCATGTACATCGTCAGCCATTACTGCAAGAGGTACTCAGCTAGTTTGAAGCAACGGATGCTCTACATTACAGGTAACTATATCTGCATATCATGACACACACCAGTTCATCTTTGAGTTGCAGAACCCAATAAAAGCATATTGATATCACACTGTATATGTTAATAAGAAGTCAAATGCGCGCAAATACATCACACTTATTACATGAAATCGTACACGAATTCATATGATGTTTGGTACAGAGGAAAGCCACACGAATTCAAATACAAGCATAGATACAACCGTTTATGCTCAATCGGAGCCACTAGGGAACTCACGTAGAGCGAGTAAACGGACATACTTCAGTTGCAATGCACGCTGAACATAAACACAAAGAAATTAACAGACAATCAGAACATATTGCAATCCACACTAGCACACGCAAACCACACCATGGGATGATAGGAGGGGCCCTTCCGGCGTCAAACCTGTTTCTTCCAGCAGAAAGAGAATGTTGCAGCATCGTTGTCATCCTCTTCTTCATCTCCTTTTGCTTCGTTTCGAGTTTCTGGTCCATTATGTTTAAGCCTAGGCTTGTTTTTATGATTTTCAATGGCCTTACCCACCTCATTGGGGACTTTGTCACCGTTGAACTCAAGCTCCTTCAATCTTGGAAGTTTGTCGATGCTGGAGAGAGATGTGGAAGATGACAAGACAATTTTCTCGAGCCTAGGAGCAGACCCGCTGTTGAAGACAATCTTGGTGATGGCCGAGCAGTCGACAACAAGGAGGTTGAGCCATAAGAACTCATCTTTTTTCAATGTAATCTCGTTCTGACTTCCACCAAAAGACTTGTCCAGGAGCACCAGAGTGCGTATATTTCGTTTCTTGGTGAGTGTTTGTAGAGCATCCAGCTCTAGCAATGTACCACAAAGAGTTAGCTTGGCTATCTGTTTGGCATCGTCAAGCAAACTTCCACAGAAGCTGCTGTTCAACTCAAGCTCTTTCAGCTTAAGAAGATAGTCAACTCCAGAAATAGAGCATTTGCTGCTGATAGACAAAACCATCTTCTCGAGCTCACTGGCTGCCTCATCCTCAAAAGTGATATTAGTCAAGTCCAAGTCCTCAATAAGAAGGTACTTGAGGCATCTGAATTCACCTTCCTTGAAGTTCAGCGTGTGCTCGATGCATACAATGTGTTGGAGCCTGACACACCGTAACTTTGGCAGTTTGGCGAGGACTTCCAGATCATCTTGGCTCAGCAGAGTGTGACAGAGAGTTATCTTGGCAAGTTTGTTGTTATCACCTTTTATGAACAATGGAAGGAGACACCCCTTCTGTGTGGTTCCCTTGATGCTTAGAGACTCAAGAATCTTGGGATGTTTTTTTAGGTCAGGTACATTGACTTCTGGTAACTCTGCCTCATGTGGTGCGGCTACGGGGAGAGTGATTAACAGAGAACAGAAACACTCATGTAGGTCACTGATCGCCTTAAGCAAATTCTTGAGGTGACTATCCTTATCATCGATAACCACACCTAGCTTCCTCAGCTGCCATAGCCTTCCAATATCTTTTAAATCATGACTCTGCTTGGCCTTGACACTGGATAGTACCTCCATGTTTACCATTTTGTCGATCCTATGAGGAATCCGGGGAATAGATTCAAAATTGCTCGGATCAATGTGACCAGCAAGCAGACCCTTCAGCTTCAATAGCAGGATATGTGCTGTTGCATGTGGAGGCACCTTAGTTTCTCGGATATCCAGCACCTCTAGCTCACGGAGGTTGTTGATTTCACTCGGTAGCTGGGTAATATTTGTTCTCCTTAGGCTCAGATACTTGAGCAGTAACATCTTGCTGCAGATTTCCTTGAGGTACCGCTGTTTCTTCTCAAGAAAGCACTGACAACCTTCTAGATCTAGCACCTTGAGCAGGGATACTTGAGATGATTCAGATAGCCCCTTGAAGAATTGATCAATTCTATCAGAGCTGCGGAGTTGGAGATCGTTGAAAATGGAGAAGTGGCGAGCCAAGTGATGTGACAGGCGTGTCTCCACAATGTGTTGTTTTCTGGCGATGGTGGTAATGAATCCATGAACTGGATCACTTACGACACAGCTCTTTACATTTCCCATGGCATCAATATCAGCAGGATCAACAAGGCACCGCCAATGAGTGTGTCAAAACATCGGTTGGCCTGACGCACAGAACTGGGCCAATCTTCCTTGGATGTCAGCCCTTCTGTAACCCAGCGTGTAATCAATGTTGACCGCCTGATCTTTTTTCTGGGAGAGAAGATAGCTAGGTACAGCAAGCAGGACCTGTATTCTTTAGACAGGTCATTGTAAGAGAACTTGAACATCACCTTCGCGATGCTGTTGAATGATGTTGTTGGTAAAGCCCGCAGGGTGCTGTGTAGCTTGAGTAACTCCTCATTGCTCCTCTTGGGGTTAGCATAGAAAGCATGAGTGAAAATCTTCATGCAGAATTCATGTGGCTCACACTCGTACAAGATATCATGAAAAATTTGGGGGTTGTAGCTGTCTTCATTCTTCTGCTGACTAGTAAGCTCGAGCACTGTATCATGGTAGAGGCCAGCAAGAGAATAGTCTATAGGTTCCCTCTGTGGATAGCAATACTTTTTAGCCAGTTGGATGTCCTTTGTGCTGGGCACGATCATTAAATCGGCGCTGCACTTTAACAAGCTTAAAGCATTTCTGGTATCCTCCCATGTGGAAACATCCATCAACTCATCAACTTTGAGGATAAACAGGGGGCATTCACACACGTTATCCCAGAACGGATGAGGATTCAAGTTATTTTTAATCTCATTCACGAGCCCTTTGATCTTTAGCTGCTCTTTGAACCCGGGCTTCATTTTATGCATCATCTGATCCACGAAACAGGTAAATGTTTTTTCAGAAACACTTTCAGCAACAGGTTCACCTGTCCCTTCACTCTTGTCATATTTGCCTTGCTGCAGCTCTCCTAAGATGTCTTCCTTTGCGTCGTGGATTAGTTTTTTGATTTGATCCTCATCCAATGTAGCCGTTGTGGTCTTTGTAGCTTGCTTGTCCAAGGATCTGTCTTGAGCCTGCAGGGGCTTGTTGCTGATGCTCTTGGGAAACAGCTTCCGCAGGATGTGCACATATTGTGCCTCATCAAGGCGAATCCACGCCGTCTGCTGACTTTCTTCTTCTTTATGTATGGTTATTACTTCTCCTCCCCCCTCCTCTATGTCCTCCATATGTTTGCATGTTACTTCTCCTCCTCCTCCTTCCTCCTTATGCTTGACCTCAGCTTGTTCTCCTTCCACCCCCATATGCTTGGCTGCTTCTTCCTCTTCAAGCTTCTTGTCCTTTTCCTCTGCTTCCATGTACTCCTTAAGCTTCTTGACGAGGATGTTGTTGTTGTTGTTGTTGTCCGACGCTGTTAATCTATGCATGTCTTTGTTCTTACCTCTTTGATCCTGTTGAAACGCTGCTTGTAGCAGCAGCTGAAGTAGTATGTCTAGATCCAACTGGTCAAAATCACCCTGCAGCTTGTCGCCCTTCAGTAGTCCGTCGCCCTTATTCTCTAGTCGACCTTGAATATCAGCCTTAATTTTGTCAAGCTTGTCATAGATCTTCATCTCTTTGATATTCTCCTTGATTTGAAGAAAAGCAATAGCCCTCTTCTTTTCACGGTAAATTTGCAATCTTCTTATGTACACTTCCCAAGGATCAAGATCCACTTGGCCTTGCGTGCCTTTCTCCTGGGGGTTGGAATTGGCATGCTTGAGCTCTCGCAGAATGTAGAAGAGAATCTCCTTGGCTTGTAGCGGCGCAAACTCGTGGTGCATGGCCGGGATGTCAACCAGAACAATGCAATTGTAGCCATAGGCACGCAGGTTTTGACTCATAAGCCAATTTTGTTGTACAAGAGCGAGGAGGTCCTCCTGATATTTGTAGGGTGCCAGAAAGACCATGGATAAAGTTTCGCTGGCGTTTGAAGGAACTCCATATGCCCACTCACATAGCTTTTCCGTGACGAAGTCACCCAGAGTACGAGAATCAATGAAGGCTCTTCGAGCAAAATGACCGCCGGCCACCATCGCCCCCACGAGTTGACCGTCAGCATCTTCTTCATCATCCTCGGCCCCAGCAGCAGCATAGCCACCTGCCGCAGCAGCCCGCGACGCCGAAGCCATCCCAGCCGTCGATTGCACCTTCAATGACTTGTCCGGGACCTCCACGCCGTACCTCAACCGCCGAGCGCCGATCTCGCGCGCCCGCTCCTTGAGTAGGCGCAGCTGCTCGGCTGCGTGGTGCTGCACGACCAACTTTTGCAGGAACCAGGTCGCCCACCAGAGGTAGCCTCAGAGTCCCCCTCTGGCGCGGTGGACGTCGGGGCTCCCGCGGCTGAGGTAGAGGTCGATGCAGTTGCTGCAGTCCTGGGCGAGCAGCCGCACCTGCCTCATCCAGCTGCGCACCTGCTCGTTGTGCTCGCCGCCGCTCCTTGCCAGGTGCTCCAGGAAGCTCTTCATGCTCTCCATCTCCTCGTTGATGAACTGCACGCCGTCCCCGACGCCTTGCAGTAGCCGCGCCTCGCTGCGGATGACGACCAGCAGGGAGCTCACGGCGCCCGCCGCGAGCTCGGCCATGGCTCCCTCTCCTTGCGTCGGTCGGCTGGTGGTTTCTAGTCGAACCGGTGGAGGCTAGCTGAGCTGGGTGGTGGCGAGGACGCACACATTCTTCTCCTCGTATCGTATGGGAGAGCCAGAGGAGGATGTATGAGTGTTGAATCGGTTCAAAGGGATTTTCACTCCACTGGAGACGGTCTGATGTCCTGATGTAAATCTTGATTTGACTAGACGAACAGTGTCGTAAAGGGCGTTCACATGCACTGTCATGAACATTGTGGCTTGTTCCATTTACTGACCCAATAGCACGAAGGTATCCAAGGTACTAGAGGTGACTTATCCTGTCGGTGGATGGAAAAATTGATGGGGCCAGTGTGCAATGATCTGGGACCCTGGTTCATGATGATCAATGAGCGGTTGGGGCTGCCATGGGGCATCTCTTCAGGCAATCATCTGCAGTATATACCATTCCACTTGGTTGAAGTACTTGCTTCTTGAACAATACTTACAAGCTTATTTACCATATAAAGGGCCACATTTGGAACGCACGAATTTGAAAAGAAGAATGCATGAATTGAGATGTCGTGTAATTACAGATCCCTACAGGAACTAAAAACCAAACTAAAATACATCTAGATACATTCATACCTGCGACAAGTAATTTGAAACGGAGGGAGTATTACAGATTCCTACAGAAACTAAAAACCACAGGAAAACTGCAAAATTGCGATGTCACCAACTCCAAGACGACCTTGTTGAGCACCTGTGGCCACTTCATAGCACTTGATTTTTGTGCTTTTATTATTATTTATTTATGCTATTACTTCATTTGGACTCTATGGTGTGTTTGAATTTGAATGCTTAAGTTTAAAAACAGCTTAACATGTTATTTATGCTATCACTGCATCAACAACCAAAGGTACCGAGGTACTAGACGTTGCAAATCATGTCGGTGGGTGGAGAAATTGATGAGGTGTGCAGTGATCTAGGGCCTTGGATTTTACTGATTTTTATTTTTAGAAGAGGTAGAGGTCGATGCAGTTGTTGCAGTCCTGGGCGAGCAGCTGCACCTGCTCGTCGTGCTCGCCGTTGGGGGGCGCCCACTTGGCCAGGTGCGCCAGGAAGCTCTTCATGCTCTCCATCTCCTCCTTGATGAACTGCACTTCGGATCCAGATTCGCTGACTTAGCCACAGCAAATCCCCGCTGACTTTGCCGCAGGACCAAGAATCGAAGGCTGAGATTCGCCGAATCACTGTTCCCGGACACTGTTCACATAAACCACTTTTCACGCAAATCACTGTTGATCCTAATGTAGCATACGATCTGGACCGCCGCTTTTTAATCCAACAGACGAGACTAGGCAAAGGTAGCGGTACTGTAGCTTCGCTACCTTTGCCATGGCAAGTCAGCGAATCTGAATCGCAGATTCGCTGACTTAGCCACAGCAAGTCCCCGCTCCCGGACACCACGCAGCAACAGCGCCTCGCTGCAGATGACGACCAGCAGGGAGGGGAGAATATCTGGTGCTACGGGAGCACCTCACATTAGGTGCTCCCGCGCGACGTCACCCGTCGATCTGAGATCGAATGGACAACATCACGTTATGTGGACCAAAGTGTTATTTCGGGAATGTTTGGAGGGTTTTCCGCAAAGCATTCATGCAGGATTTGTCTTTTTTGTTTCTCAATGTATATTTTGATTTTTGGTTTGAAACTTTTAGGGATTGCACATTCATGTGATGCTAACATCCACTATTTTTTTTGTAATTTTTTGAAACACTTAAATGTGCATTTTCAAAATTGGGAGCACCTAATGTGAGGTGCTCCAGTAGCACCAGATATTCACCCCAGCAGGGAGCTCACGGCGCCCGCCGCGATCTTGGCCATGGCTCCCTCTCCTTGCGCCGGCCGGCTGGTGGTTTCTAGTTAAACTGGTGGAGGCTAGCTGAGCTCGGCGGTGGCGAGGACGCACTCATTCTTCTCGCCTGGGAGAGCTAGAGGAGGATGTGCGAGTGTTGAATCGGTTCAAAGGAATAGGGCGCGCCTCTGTAAACGCTGGGGTTTTCAGTGCACGAGCCGAACAGGTTTCAAGATGGCCTGATGTCCTCACGGGCCACGCACTGATGTACAGTAAATCTTGACTTGACTTGACGAACGGTGTCGTCAAGGGCGTTCACACGCACTGTGATGAACATTGTAGCCAGTTGCATTTGCTGCCTCAATAGCCCAAAGGTACCCGAGGTATAGTACGCGACAAATCCTGTCGGTGGATAGAGAAATTGATGGGGCTTGCAATGATCTGGTACCCTGGCTCATGATTTCATGATGATCAACGACAATGAGCGGTTGGGGCTGCCATGGGCACCTCTTGTGACAATCATTTGCGCTATACCATTCCACTTGGCTAAAGTAATTGCTTCTTGAACAATACTACAAGCTTATTTACCATGCTTGCTCTGATGCTTGTGGCGCACAAACCAAATTTCCCAGGTGGGTGTATCTACTTCACTGATG